GCGATGGACATCAGCAGGCGAGGATGGTGGAGGAAGGTAATAGCTTTTATTGGGGGAACTCATACAGTTTGAAGAAATAGTTGCTTTTTGCAGGCAAACGCTTCTTCAGGCTGACATTTGGAAATGTAATTTTGTTCTGAATGGTGCAAATATTGTACTTCCTGAGTACCATAAAGCCAAAGACAAACTCCGGGAAACGCTCCTTTCGGAAAATTACCATCCGAGACCTCCAGCGTGTCAAGTCAAAACGTTTCATTACGGGATTCTTGCTGATTTAGCGCTGAAAATAAGGTTTTCAAACCATTTTTAATAGAATTTATCTGTCGTGATTTTAAGTTGAAACTCAAATAGCTGGAAAGCGTAGCTGCTGGAAGGTTATTTTCCCTTCGGAGCCGGTGTTAGAAGGGAGGCTGGGGTGCTGCCGTGGCCATGGAAGTTTGCAGAGGAAAGGAGCTAAAAATCCCCACAGGGCTTCAGCGTCGTGACTGTTGAAAGCTGTCGTCATTTTTAAAGCAGAATTAAATGTGTGCAAAGCTGTTCTAATTGAAATCAACTTGCGGTGCACCGCTTGAGGACGGCTTTGAGTTGCCAGCGGAGGAGAGGACCAACGGGTATTTTTCTCAGGAGTTTCTGCCTTTTTGCTGCAATTGTTATTCCATTTAAAAATATTTGTCTTGATTGCTTAGTTTAATCTATTTTATCCTGTTTGAGACAGGCTGGGTTACGCTATTCTTTTCACATACATGGAGGACCAAACTCTGGGCAGAAAGGGAACAAGCACTGTGAAATGACCATGAAACACGTCTCATTACAGGGGAGAGGAGGAAGAATAAACAATATTTCACTCTTACAAAGCTGCATTTTTTTTTCTTGGGATAGCAAACTCTCTGGATACTTGCTGTTTCCCTGCAAGCCCCAGCTCCCCGGGTTGTAAGCAAAAACCTTGGCTCTTCTAGAGAAAGCACTTCCCAGCTGTCAGGACTGCAGAGAAGAGCTGGAGTTTTGAGCTTTAAAGGTTTAATAACAGGAAAGCCAAGAGAACAAATGACTATTTTAGGATTTCGGAATGTCTCACTATTTTTTTAAGCTAGTCCTATCATTTTGGCTCTTGTCCTGGATCACACTTTCCCCAGGTTCCTGTTGGGAAGCGATTTCTCGGAGTTCACCCTATAAAGTCAGGCTGATGTCTCTGACAGCAGACGTGTGTAAATATCTGCGTGGGCACAGACTGCTCTGGCCTCTGATGCCTCCAAAAATCCCAGTGTGGTCCAAGCCAGGGGCTCTATTTGCTTGCTTTGGGGTAAATCCCTCTCCAGCAGAAATCAATTTTTCATGCATACATTTTTTGCAGGGTGCAGCCAAGCCCAGCAGCACCCTATTTGCTTTTATTCATTATTATCCATTTTTTGGTCCTTCCAGGCGTACAAGAGGAAAACAGAAGCCGCAAAGAAGGAGTACCTGAAAGCCCTGGCAGCGTACCGGGCCAGCCTCGTCTCCAAGGTACCGCCCGCGCTGGACGTGGTGATGCTGAATTCGTTGCAGCTCATGGGGTTCAGAGCAAGTTTGTAAGAAATCCAGCGTGATCGTGCTAGCGGAGTGGTTATCAGTGTTAGCCACCTTCCCGAGGAGCTCAAAGAAATGCTCTGCATGTGGTTAGGTGGGCTCCAGGCTTTGGGTTGTCTTCATCAGCAGCTGTGACAGCAGGGGAGGAGTGTCCCTGCTTGGGGACAGCGGGGTCCCTGCTGACTGTCCCCACTGCCAGTGGCTGTCAGGGTGTGAGTGCAGCAAACTGGGGAGCACTGGTGAGGGCAGGAGGATGAGGCTCACCATGGGTGACACCAGGGACTGGCCCAGGGAAAGGTGACCCACCAGCCCTGCGCTCACTGGGCAGCAGCCAGGAGCCAGCATCCTGCTTGCACACTGCGCCAGGCGCTTGGGCTGTCCCCGCTGCTCAGGACCCTGCGTCCCCTCTGTGTGTGCAGCCAGAGCAGGGTTTGGGGAGCAGGACCCATAACTGGGGGTTGATGAGCCTGGGAGCACATACATGCTGAACACACTGCTGTCAGCAAAACCCAGAGAGTGCATTTCAGCAACTAACAGTCACCTTCCAGGGGATTTCAGGTTCATATGGAAGCTCCTGGTGCTGCAAGGTGGTACCTGGGGTGGTGATGATGGGTCAAGTGCCTGCCCATCGCCATCCTCCAAAGGTGGACGCCCATCCCGGGGAACCTCGCACCTTCCCCTGCTCTGTGCCTTCAGAGAGCAACCTGGTGTCTCCTGCCCCCGCAGACACG